GATGTGCTCGCTCAGGCCATCCCCGACTATGACCGGTAGTATCTCCAACGCCAGGGGAGCCATGTCCGGCTATACGATGGAGGACTTGACTACGTCGTCCAGGTAAGACATTTTCCTCTATAATTTTTCCTTTGCTTTTGTTTTTGCATCTCTAACTTTGTTTTGCTTCGTCCAGGGTGCCCTTATGCTGAGGGAGCAGCATTGGAGACAGGAAGCCGAGATAGAGCGGCTGAAGAAGATGGAGGCCAAGGCTGCTTCAGCCGATGAGGCCCTTCAAGATCTGAGGGACAAGGCCAAGGCTGCGGAGGATGAAATGAAGCTCCTTCAGATGCGCCTTGATGAGGCCGAGGCAGCCCGGAAGAAAGCTGATGAGGCCGTTGCTGCTGCTATCCAAAGATCCGAGGAGGCGGAGCGCCTCAAAGCTGACGCTGAGAAGGCCGCCGAGAGGGCCGTAGTGGATTTCAAGGCCGAGGGGTGGAAAGCCGAGGACCAGCTCCCCTTCTGCTATGAGGTGGTTGCTGAGAGGTTGAATGATTGGACGACGAAGGACCCCGCCGGCCAAGAATTCTGGATGAACGAGATGCAAGCTTTCTACGACTGTGGTCAGTACAGGATGCAGAAGCTGATCTACAGGAGGCTTCATCGTCGCTTCCGGAAGATGAGGCCGAGGGGTCTGAGTCTCCCTCGGCGAATGAAGAATCCTGACGAGGATTTGAAGCTCCCCCTGTTGGAGAGGCAGCCCCCGATCCTAAGCTCGTCTGAAGGGGAAGAGCCGTGGAGTGATAGTGACGACTATTTGCTCGAAGGGCTTGCCGATTCCCAAGCCGATGAGGGTGGTGGTGATGATGATGCCGATGACGGCCACGGCGCCGGTGCTGTTGATGGTGGAGTGCCAGCTAATGTTGTAGCTTAGTATTTTCTTGTATTAGTTTTTGTAGCCATAGCACTGAAGTGCATGTAATGGCCGAAGCGCCCACCTTTTGTATCTGTTCATCTATCAATGATAATCCTTGTCACCACGATTCCCTCGTCGTCTTTGTAGTTAAGTATGTTTGCTCTTGTAAAATTTTCTAAGTGTCCAGGTTGTGTTTCGAGGACGTTGGCGTCTCTTGATTGAGACGTAGCGATATTCTTGCCTTTGCTGTCCTTGGGGACGATGCGCATCTTCGGCCCTTAGTGAATGTTTATTTTTGCCTTCAAATTTTGTCAGTCTCTTAGGTTTTAGGGCTTAGTTTTGGAGTGTTGAGGACGAAGCGATACCCAGTGGTAGCGCAACATCACTTCAGTGAGGCTTGCCTTGATGGGGCTGTTTTTGCTTCGCTTCGTCACTTGAGTTTTGTTACGTGGAGACAATGCGTCGTATCGTCCAAGTAATGGACTGGTTTTGTATGACCGAAGCCGAAGCGATCCCCTCTTGTGAAGCTGTGGTTGAGGTCGAAGCGTGTACTTCGGCTCCCTGTAGGGCTGAGCACGGGTCGGGTTCGGGCGGGTCGGGTCTGCGTACCCTAAACCCGTTCGGGTTTTTTAAGTTAAATACTAGGCCCGACCCTTTGATATTTCAAATCGGGTTTTTCGGATATTTGTAAGTCGGATATTATCGGATATCGGATCGGGTTTCGGATATTTCGGTTATATTAAAAAAATATATAATTGGATAATTAAAGTGTTTGAATGCCACTTTGACAAAAATTCTACAAACTAGTGCACTAAACATTCAAATTACGCAAATAATTTAATACAAATTGCATAAATAATTACACAAATAATTGAACACAAGTATTAATTTAACTTATTCAAAGTACACACTACATAATTTAATATATTTCGAATATTTTGGTTATATTAAAACACATTATAATTGGATAATTAAAGTGTTGGAATGTCACTTTGACAAAAATTATACACACTAGTGCACTATGCATTCAAATTACAAAAATAATTTAACACAAATTGCACAAATAATTACACAAATAATTGAACACAAGTATTAACTTAACATATTCAAAGTACACACTAAATTATTTAATATATTTCGGATATTCGGGCGGGTCGGGTTGGGATTATACAAACCCTACCCGCCACCCGATCTAGGCCCAATACTAATCGGATTTTCGGTTTCGGGTTTTTCGGGTCGGATATCCATTTCGGTTCGGATAATATCCGGAAAAAACTTCGGCTTTTGCGGGTCGGTTCGGGTTTTGCTCAGCCCTAGCTCCCTGTATGGTGAAACCTGATATGTACTTAGCCGATTTTGAGGCTTGGTTTTTGTGGGGATTTTATTTTATGCTCGAGGCCGGCAAGTGCGCGGTCCGTCGGCTCCCCTCTTTTTTTTTTTTTTTTTTTTTGAGTAGCCGAAAGGTTACTGTCCCTTCGTCCATGTGCGGTAGTTTGTCCGCTACGCTCTTCGCGTGAATTAGTGCGAGGGAGTAAATACGCCCTCGGCTTGGTGTGTCAGTGGCATCTTTTTTTGGCCTTTCCACGTCTATCGTCGACGAGGGACCGGACTAGGCATCGTCTTTTGACAGCCGCCCTTTGTGGTCCTGAGCAAAATTTTACTGACGGGTGGAGTTTTTGTAACCTCAGCCTTAATTCAGGCCTGTCGTCCTGCGGTTTCCGCGCGGACGACGCGGTATGCTTCTCCGTTTGAAGACGTTGGACCATGCACACAGGTCCTTCGTCCTGCATATCGCCGGCCGATTTGGGTGTTTCACCGCTTGTGCCGATACGATATTTAGGTGCGTTGTATATGCAACGGCTTTGCAGGCGCGTTGTGGATCGCAACGGCCTTGGGTGCGTTGTGTATTGCAACGGCTTTAGGTGCGTTGTTTATTGCAACGGCTTTGGGTGCGTTGTTTATTGCAACGGCTTTTAGGTGCGTCGTTTATTGCGACGGCTTTAAGTGCGTTGTTTATTGCAACGTTTTTAGGTCGCATCGGTCCCGGGTGTTTGCACCGCTTAGGCCGATGCGGTCCTTAGGTTTCCCTTTGCTCAAATCCTAAAAGATTGGATGAAACATGAATTTTATTCAATAAGTGGCGCTAGGCCGAGGGTGTTTTATTCAACCAATAAGTCGAGGGGTGGGGGACGTTGCCCGCTTCACCACTTCTCGAGTTATTGGTAAAATTTCACCAGATGGTGTACATTCCACAATCGTGGTACATCTGACCCATTAGGGTTCTTTAATCTATAGGTGCCGGCTTTGATGACGGCGCTGACGATGTAGGGCCCTTCATATTTGACGGCGAGCTTTCCTCCTTCCGTCGGCTTGCTGGCTTCTCTTCGGCGGAGGACGTAGTCCCCCACTTGGAATTCGCGGGAGCGGACCTTGGCGTCGTAGTAAGATTTGACTTGTCGTCTGTAGTTCTCTGCCCGAAGGTAAGCCATCTCCCGTCTTTCCTCAATGAGGTGCAAGTCAATCTTCATGGCTTCTTCATTGGCTTCGGGGTCGTATTGTGTGACCCGTCGGCTGGGGAGGGTGACTTCAGTGGGAGCCTTGGCTTTGAAGCCGTAGCACAAGGAGAATGGTGTCTCCCCGATGGCCCTCCTCGGCGTAGTGCGGTAGGACCATAGGACGTTGGGGAGCTCGTCGACCCAACTTCCGCCTTCTTCTTCGAGCTTCTTCTTTAGCCCTTCCAAGATGGTTCTGTTGGCGTTCTCAACTTGCCCGTTGGCCTGAGGGTAGGCAACAGAGGAGAAACGGTGCTTGATACCCCATTCTTGGAGGAGGCTTTGGAATGGTTCGGCCTCAAACTGGGTGCCGTTGTCTGATATGATCTCCTGAGGCACGCCGAAGCGAGTGAGGATGTTCTTGTAGACGAACTTTCGACACCGCGCTCCGGTGATGCTTGCGAGTGGTTCGGCCTCGACCCATTTGGTGAAGTAGTCGATGGCGACGATGATGTATCTGTTGTTGCCTGCAGCTCTTGGTAGAGGGCCGACGAGGTCGATGCCCCATCTGGAGAATGGGATGGCAGTGCTGACCGGGGCATAGTTGACAGCTGGTCGGTCAGGTGCCCTTTGATAGTGTTGACATGCGCTGCATTTGCGGGCGACCTCAGCACAATCACGCGCCATCGTCGGCCAGAAGTAGCCTTGGACGACGAGGCGGCGCGACATGCTGAAGGGCCCCTGATGTGATGAGCATACGCCGCAGTGGACTTCTTCCATGGCCACTTCGGCCTCATTCTGGTGTAGGCACCGAAGGAGGGTGCCGTTGTATGATCTCTTGTAGAGCTTGTCATCCTCAATGACATAGCTTGGGGCCCTGAGCTTGGCTAGTTTGGCCCTCTCCTCGTCTTCTGGTAGCGTGCCGGAGGTGATGTAGGTTGCGATGTCAGTGATCCAATCCTCCGGCTGGTGTTGGATGGAGAGTATAGGGCTGGCGTGAATGCTTGACATGCTCAACTCCTCCACCTTAGCTATCTTGGAGATGTGCTCAGGGGTGTCGGAGCTGAGTTTGGAGAGTATGTCAGCCTCGGCGTTCTCTGCCCTTGGGATCTGAGTGATCTCGTAGGTATCGAACGCCTTGAGCAATTCCGCAGCGGCCTCCTTGTATTGCTTCATCCTCCCTTCTTTGGCCTCGTAGGAACCCTCCATCTGGCTCACTACGAGTTTGGAGTCGCATTTGATTCTGACGTGGCGTGCTTTAAGGCCAGCGGCTAGTCTGAGTCCGCTGAGGAGCGCTTCATATTCGGCCTCATTGTTGGATACTTTGAAGTTGAAGCGAATGGCATAGTACGCTCTGAAACCTTCCGGGGAGATGAGGACGACGCCACCCCCACAGGCTTTGGTGGCTGAGGACCCATCTGTGTAGAGGGTCCAGGCCTCGTCTGATTCAGCTCCTGTGGTGGTTACGGCCGTCTCCCGTGCCGTGCATTCGGTGACGAAGTCAGCCAAAGCTTGCCCTTTGATGGATGGTCTTGGCCTGATCTCGATCTGGTACTGGCTCAGGAATATCGCCCATTTGATCATCCTTGGAGAGCTGGTTGGGCTCCTCATGAGGGCGCCCAACGGCTGATGCGTGAGGACGTGGACGGGGTGGGCCTGGAAATAGTGCCCCAGCTTCTTCACTGATAGCCGTTATATTTACTTGTGTTTAACATAAGTATTTATAAGTATTTGTTGAAGAAAAGAAGAGAATTCGGGCAAATACCTCCAGAATGAGAGCTAGATCATAAAACATTGCGATGAACGACTTTTTGGACCAAGAGAATGACGTTCTGCCCATAATTTGAGTATAACGTATTCTATAGAACTCGAAATCACTCGATTCGAGTTTCATGTGAATGCTAACTCAATAAGGTACAAATGTTATGAAGACGTCATGGCCAACATATGAAAGGAGCAAGACTCAATCAACCAACAAAGTCAGATGTTGCTGGTGGGATTTCAGGATGCATACCTCTCAGTGTTTTATCCATATCTCTTGATTGGCTGAATAAAATCATGTCATTCAAGTTTTGTTGGATAGAAGACTTCATTATCTACAACTTTGGTGAAGGAATCATGTCCAAATTCGTAGCGGAACATCCCCAAAATCCCAGGACAAAACCGGCGCCGGAATTTGCACCAAACCGGCGCCCGTTTGTTGATTTTCACATGTACACAAACCAGTAGCTTACCCGGCGCCGGGTAGGCCTTATACCCGGCGCCGGGTATGTCAAAATTTCAGATTTCCCTGCGCACAATGAAGAACCGGCGCCGGGTAGGCTTGAACCCGGCGCCGGGTAGGTCTGATCCTGCAAATACAAAAGAACGTGCTGAAATATTTTGATGGAAAAAACTCACCTTCCTCATGAGCTAATCAAATATATCTTCCATGCTTGATTGTTGGGCTCGAATAGACTAAAAGATGTCAATCTTTAGCCTATATAAAGCCCCCAATTCATCAAACAAGATCATGAATCCATCCTTGAAGCTTAAATTTCAGTTTTTATATTTTATTTTTGCATTCTCTTGAAGTGTTGGAGAAGAAGCCATTTCTCTCCTCTACAATTGGTTCTAGGTATTATCTCTTGTATGTTATTGTATTTCATTGTTCTTAGTTACACTTTTGTAATTATTATGAGCATTAGAGGCTAAGTTCTTAGCTAAGGCTAGGGATGAACTTCTATGCCCACTAGGTGTTTGATAAAAGTTCTAAACCAATAAATTGTGATTTATCCTTTACATTTTGATTGTTTATGACTATGGTGTACAACATAGAAGTATGTTAAACTTAGTTTATGCTTGCAATTAACGTTGAGGTCTAAACTATGAACATTAAAGGATAAACATATATATTACCGAGAATAGAAATATATCCGGTATTATATGATACGGGTGTGATGTCTTGATATTCAACGGGGTTTTCGGTAGATGAATGTAAGCCGTAACGGGACTTACACGTAACGAAAACCACGCTCTCGCTGCCTTAACCGGAGTTGAGAATATATTAGCGACATCGTATTCATAATTATTGGTAAAGAACTAATATTCAACCCTATTAAAGCATTTAAGTGATTCCCGAAGCCTTAGTTGTTGTTATCAATCACTTTAATCAAATTAATTCAAGTTATATCTCTGAAAATTAAAAAGAAGAACCAAGTTGTTGTTTTCACAACAACACACAACTCAAAATCCCTGCACTTTACTCATTTACTTATTCAAAGTCATCTACTCGCGGACTAAATTAAACAACGTTTCCCTGTGGATTCGACCCGGTATTTTACCGGAATTTATTACTATATCGGCACTTGTACACTTGCAAGTTCAGCCCGGTCAAGTTTTTGGCGCCGTTGCCGGGGAAACGGTCTTGTTTAATAAAGTCCAAACAATCAACCAATCAAAAATCCTGAATTTATTTTTCACAACTTCACTTGATCTTGGAAGGAATTTTTTTTTCTTGTGTAGATATTCCCTTGTGTTTGCATGCAATTGAGAGGTCAAGGTTCTAAAATTCTTGAACCACTTGATCTTGAAATAGAAAAAACTTGCAAACACATTCGAAGGGAGAAAAAAGCTACAAAGATGTTGCCAACTTTGAATGAGAGGAAGAGACCCGTGGTGGCCGCTACGCCATCTTGCATCACCTTGAGCGAGGAAGCAAGAGACTATGAGCTAAGGCAAAGCTACTTCAACGCTATGCCTCAGTTTCATGGTTTGCTTGGGGAAAATCCACTCAACTTCATCACGGAGTTCTACGGATTCATTCAAGGAATCCCTAGAAATGGCTTGGCGGAGGATCAACTCAAGCTCAAATGCTTCCCCTATACTCTCAAAGGGGCGGCAAGAGGATGGTTCCTAGAGCAAGCTCCGGCAAGCTACACAACATGGGAAGGTATATACAATGCCTTCATGTCTAAGTACTACACGGCCACCATGACTCAAGAGCTTAGACAACGCATTTTCAATTTCAAACAACAAAATGGTGAGCTCTTTCAAGACGCATGGCGGCGTTTCAAATCATTGCTAAGGGAATGCCCACATCACCGCATTCCCCTAGACCTTCAAATTGACACGTTCTACAATGGTTTGAATGCACCTTGTCAAGCCATTGTGGACAACCGAGCCGAGGGCTACATTGGAAATAAAAATGAAACTGAGGCACTCCGAATCATTGAATCTATTGCCTCAAATCCTCAACTTCAAGGAGGCGATTACAAGGTGGTCGGGATGAATGAAATCTCTATCACAACCGAGATTAACAAAAGGCTTGAACAAATGGAATCAAAAATTGAGCAAAAATTCCAAACGGCCCTTCAAGCCGTATTGGGAGGAGTCAAGCAAATAGCTAATGTGGAGAGCATTCAAAGTCCGGAAGGCAATTTATCTCAACATCTTGAAGAGGTAAATTTCATGAACTCTTATGGGAACCGGGGAAACAATAATCCTTCTAATCAACAAAGGTGGAACCAAGGGAGCAATTGGAAGCCACAACCCCAATCCGGAGCACCTAATTTTGGGCCGTCCAAGGAAACCACCATGGAGGATATGATGCAATTCATATCCAAGAGCATGGAAAGCATGAAGGCTCAAAATGAAGAGAACCATAGTAGAGTGGAGGCATCCATTGGGAATCTCCACTCTCAATTCAACAAGTTGGATCTTCGCTTTGAAGATCAAAATATAAAGCTCAACCAACGCATCGACACCATTGAGCAATATACCAAGGCGTCCATCCGAAATCTTGAAGTTCAATTGGGACAACTCGCCCAAAAAGTGAGTTCTAGAGAGCAAGGTAAATTCCATACAACTACGGAGGTAAACCCGAGGGAGAGCGTCATGGCCATTACCACAAGAAGCGGGAGGGAAACGGAGGATCCCAAGATGCCGGAGAGAAGAAAGACACTGGAGGAACAAGAAGAGGTTTCACATACACCGTTGCAACCTATTATGCCTAAATATGTTCCTCCCATCCCCTATCCACAAAAGTTGAAGAAGAAAGGAGATGAGAAGAAACACAAGAAAATTCTTGATATTTTCAAGAAATTGAGCATCAACATACCTTTTGCGGAGGCCATTGCGGAGATTCCATCGTACGCAAAATTTCTCAAAGGCATCATCTCCAACAAAAAGAAGTTAGAGGAATTCGCAACCGTGGCACTAACGGAGGAATGTAGTGCCATTATTCAAAACAAACTTCCTCCAAAACTAAAAGACCCCGGAAGCTTCACTATTCCATGCTCTATCGGAAAAGTCGGGGAGGTAAAGTCTCTTTGTGACCTTGGCGCTAGCATAAATCTCATGCCCCACTCCCTATTTAAAAAGCTAAGTGTGGGGGAACTCCAACCAACAACGGTTGCTTTGCAATTAGCGGATAGAACAATCCGCTATCCGATAGGCATCATGGAGGACGTCCTTGTCAAAGTAGGAAAATTCTACTTTCCGGTAGATTTTCTTGTTTTAGACATGGAAGAGATGGAGGTTCCCGTCATCCTTGGGAGATCATTTTTGGCCACTTCCGCAGCCGTCATTGATGTGCAAGCAGGCACTGTAAAGCTAAGAGTGGGAGGAGACGATGAAACATTCAATGTATGGAAAACACAATCCATACCAACTCAAAACATGGAGGTCAACACAAATCCTTCCATCCCTCCAACACACCACGGGAATGAAAAGAATGGACGGACAATTCCATGGCCTCCCCACGATCTCAAAAAGGTAACATTGGTCAAACGTCTTCAAGAGCCCAATTACACGTGAGAGGTACGTTGCGTCCGGCCTATGACGTTAAACTAAGCGCTAATTGGGAGGCAACCCAACAAATTCAATTATAAATAAATATGTTTAGTTAAATACATATTCATATTTATTTATAATTGAAACCCAAAAAAAAACAAAAAAAAACAAAAAAAAAGCAAAAAAACAAAAAAAAAACAAAAAAAAGCATCATCTAAACTCATGTATTGTGCATCTCCTACTCTCACAAGACGGCCCATTCCGCTATTGAATATTTCATCCTCCATTGCATCCGCCAATGTACATTGAGGACAATGTAACTCAAGTGTGGGGGTGTATCTCATGGTTAGTTAAACAAATTTTGTGTGCAAAATATTTTTTTTAGGAAGGTAAAAGTTCTGATAATTCTCTTTTTAACGGGTATTTGGTTGAGAAAGTTTTTTTTTAATTACTTACAAAAACCTATCATTTTTTTAGACTACTCTTTACTCTTGAAAACTACTCCAAAAAAATAAACCTTGTGACTAGAAAAAATCTCCTTCCTTCATTCCCAAAAATGGTCAAATACTACATTCAAGCACCATTTTGGAACACAAAACCCACTCTCACACCTCATCAAATAAATTGGCACCATCAAATGACTTTCAGTAAATACTAGTTGAAGACCTTTTCAAATGAGTTTAAAAAAAAAAGAAAAAAAAAACTCATGGTCTCATCTAGGAAGTTCAATTGATTCATACAACTTAAAAGTCAAAAACACCAAAAAGCCATCCCACTCACCCAAAAAAACCATAGTCACAAATCATTCCTTTATTTTCAAGAGTATTAGTAGTTTTCTAAATCTAAATGATACTTTTTGTGTTTAATTGAAAAAAATGGTTTTTGGACCGAGAATGAGAAAAGAGTTTATATGTCATTTTTACCTCTCTTAAAATAAAATTATTTTTGTGCATATATTTTTGTTGAAACTAACCAAGGCATCCAAGGTGAAGAAATTGCTCGAGGACGAGCAATGCTCAAGTGTGGGGGGATTTGATAGCCGTTATATTTACTTGTGTTTAACATAAGTATTTATAAGTATTTGTTGAAGAAAAGAAGAGAATTCGGGCAAATACCTCCAGAATGAGAGCTAGATCATAAAACATTGCGATGAACGACTTTTTGGACCAAGAGAATGACGTTCTGCCCATAATTTGAGTATAACGTATTCTATAGAACTCGAAATCACTCGATTCGAGTTTCATGTGAATGCTAACTCAATAAGGTACAAATGTTATGAAGACGTCATGGCCAACATATGAAAGGAGCAAGACTCAATCAACCAACAAAGTCAGATGTTGCTGGTGGGATTTCAGGATGCATACCTCTCAGTGTTTTATCCATATCTCTTGATTGGCTGAATAAAATCATGTCATTCAAGTTTTGTTGGATAGAAGACTTCATTATCTACAACTTTGGTGAAGGAATCATGTCCAAATTCGTAGCGGAACATCCCCAAAATCCCAGGACAAAACCGGCGCCGGAATTTGCACCAAACCGGCGCCCGTTTGTTGATTTTCACATGTACACAAACCAGTAGCTTACCCGGCGCCGGGTAGGCCTTATACCCGGCGCCGGGTATGTCAAAATTTCAGATTTCCCTGCGCACAATGAAGAACCGGCGCCGGGTAGGCTTGAACCCGGCGCCGGGTAGGTCTGATCCTGCAAATACAAAAGAACGTGCTGAAATATTTTGATGGAAAAAACTCACCTTCCTCATGAGCTAATCAAATATATCTTCCATGCTTGATTGTTGGGCTCGAATAGACTAAAAGATGTCAATCTTTAGCCTATATAAAGCCCCCAATTCATCAAACAAGATCATGAATCCATCCTTGAAGCTTAAATTTCAGTTTTTATATTTTATTTTTGCATTCTCTTGAAGTGTTGGAGAAGAAGCCATTTCTCTCCTCTACAATTGGTTCTAGGTATTATCTCTTGTATGTTATTGTATTTCATTGTTCTTAGTTACACTTTTGTAATTATTATGAGCATTAGAGGCTAAGTTCTTAGCTAAGGCTAGGGATGAACTTCTATGCCCACTAGGTGTTTGATAAAAGTTCTAAACCAATAAATTGTGATTTATCCTTTACATTTTGATTGTTTATGACTATGGTGTACAACATAGAAGTATGTTAAACTTAGTTTATGCTTGCAATTAACGTTGAGGTCTAAACTATGAACATTAAAGGATAAACATATATATTACCGAGAATAGAAATATATCCGGTATTATATGATACGGGTGTGATGTCTTGATATTCAACGGGGTTTTCGGTAGATGAATGTAAGCCGTAACGGGACTTACACGTAACGAAAACCACGCTCTCGCTGCCTTAACCGGAGTTGAGAATATATTAGCGACATCGTATTCATAATTATTGGTAAAGAACTAATATTCAACCCTATTAAAGCATTTAAGTGATTCCCGAAGCCTTAGTTGTTGTTATCAATCACTTTAATCAAATTAATTCAAGTTATATCTCTGAAAATTAAAAAGAAGAACCAAGTTGTTGTTTTCACAACAACACACAACTCAAAATCCCTGCACTTTACTCATTTACTTATTCAAAGTCATCTACTCGCGGACTAAATTAAACAACGTTTCCCTGTGGATTCGACCCGGTATTTTACCGGAATTTATTACTATATCGGCACTTGTACACTTGCAAGTTCAGCCCGGTCATTCACGGTGTGGACGATGGCCAGCACCGTCTTCTCAATGGGGGAGTACCTGAGCTCGGCCTCCCGCAACGTCTTGCTGACGTAGAATATTGCTTTTTGTACCCCGTCATCCTCCCTGATGAGTACGGAGCTGACGGCCGACGTGCTCACTCCTAAGTAAAGGAATAGAGTCTCGCCGGGTTGGGGTTTGGATAGGACGGGTGGGGAGGCGAGATATTGTTTCAGCTCTTCAAAGGCCTGTTGGCACTCCGTCGTCCACTTGAAGCTGGTGGCCTTTCTCATTATCTGAAAGAAGGGGAGCGACTTCTCCGCGGATTTTGAAAGGAAACGGTTCAGGGCCGCAAGGCGTCCCGTCAGCCGTTGTACTTCTTTGATGTTGCGGGGTGGCTCCATATTGATGATGGCTTGTATTTTCTCCGGGTTCACCTCGATGCCCCTTCGACTGACCAGGTACCCCAGGAATTTACCTCCCTGGACGCCGAAGGTGCACTTCTTTGGTTTGAGCCGGAGGTTGTATCTCTTCATGATCTCGAAGATGCCCCGGAGGTCGTCGGCATGGGTTGTGGATTGTTTGCTCTTGACGATCATATCGTCGACATATGCTTCCATCGTCCGACCTAAGACTGCTCTAAAAATTCGGGCTACCATCCTTGTGTAGGTGGCGCCGGAGTTTTTGAGCCCAAAGGCCATGACGAGGTAGCAAAAAATTCCCTCCGGGGTCATAAAAGCAGTCTTCTCCGCGTCATCTTCGTGCATGGATATCTGGTGGTACCCTCTGAACGCGTCGAGGAACGACATCAACTCGCACCCCGCCGTCTCATCCACCAACTGATCAATGTTGGGGAGTGGGAATGGGTCCATCGGGCACGCCTTGTTCAGGTCAGTGTAATCAACACACATTCTGAATGTGGGCGGCTTTGGTGCGAGGACGACGTTCGCCAACCACGTGGGGTACTTCACCTCTTTTATGTGCTTGATGGAGAGCAGCATGGCTACTTCGGCTTTGACGAATTCCCTCCTGTCGACCGAGAGGTAGCGCTTCTTCTGCTTGATGGGGGAGGATGCCGGATCGACTGAGAGCCGATGCGTGATTACTTTTGGGCTGATGCCTGGCATGTCCTCCGGTCCCCATGCGAAGACGATGGCGTACGCTCTCAGGACAGAGAGGATGTCCCTTCGGAACATCTTCCACGTCTCCGACGGAACATCTTCCACGTCTCCGACCGGTTCGGCCTTTGGTGTGTCTTCTTCGGCCGAGGCGGTGGTGATGGTATCTATCCGCTCCTCGGCCTCATTGATCTTCCTGGTGAGCTTCAGGTAGCAAGCTCTAGCTATCTTCTGATTTCCTCTGGCGTAGCCGACGCCGTCCTTGGTGGGAAACTTGAGGCATAGATGTTTCATGGAGATGATAGCCTCAAGGTCCTCCAAGGCCGGTCGGCCCCAGATCATGTTGTGGGCGCTGTCCAGGTTGACGACCACGAACTCCATGTCAATCTTCGCCTGACAGGTACCGTCACCGACCACAACGGGAAGCACTATCGTGCCCTCGGCGTCGATAGAGTCCCCGGTGAAGCCGGATAACGGAGTCCGTATCGGCCGGAGCTCGGTCTTCTTCAACTTCAGCTGTCTGAATGTATCAACGTACATTACATTGACGGAGCTGCCAGTGTCGATGTAGTTGCGGTGGATGATGTTGTTGCCAATCTCGCATTTGACGACGAGGGCGTCCCTGTGGGGCAAGGGGCCGAAGGGGAGGTCCTTGTCGGTGAAAGTGATAGCTTCCACGCTCCGTCGCTTCGGCTGAGGGGGGCGTGGGACACCTCACCAACGTATAGGGACTGAGCCCATTTTTTCCGTTGGGTAGCCGAGTCCCCCCTGTGTTCCCGCTGACGATGATGTGGATGTGATGCTTCTTCTGGCGGGGCTCCTCTTCGTCCTCATCTTCACTGAGGGCGCCGATCTCCCTCTTTTTCCCGGAGGATCCTTCCCCCCTTTTGCCAGGGTTAACCCTAGTGTTACTCTTGGGGACACCCTTGACAAATTGGGAAAGTTCCCCCTGTCGGACGAGGCCGTCGATGTGCCTCTTCAAGGTGGTGCAATCCTCGGTCTTGTGGGATGTCTGGCGGTGGTACTTGCAGTATGTCCCTCCTTTGTGGACCGCAAATATCTCCTCCTCTGACCTGGGGTCCTTCACAATGAGGCCCTGCGCCTCGGCGTGGTCAAGGACGACGCTCACCGGGTGGGTGAGGGGGATGCGTTGTGCCTCCAACTTTGGACGCCATGAACGATCCTCTCTTCACTGTCCGCCTTGCTCCTGGTGTGCCTTCTTTGGCTGGTGTTGTCCCTTGTTGGCCGGCGGGTGGTGGGGGTTGGACGAGGAGTCCTTCTTCTGTTGCTTCTCCCCACCCTTTTTCTGGTTCAGGAGCTCATCGGCGTCGGCGTGCCTGTCTCCGCGTCGGAGCGCCGCGAGGTATGACCGCGGGGGCTCTGTGAACAGGCTTCGGGCGAAGTGGCTCGGCCGAAGTGCTCCGCGGAGGAAGGCCAGGAGGGTGCGTTCATCGGCTCCTTCACATTCGTCCGCCTCCCTCGTCCAGCGGTCGAGGAAGGCTCGTAGTGTCTCCTCTGGCTGTTGTTTGATGGTCAGGAGATGAGCGAAATGCTTCTTCGCACGTTTTCTTCCGGCAAAGTGGGTGAGAAAACGTTGGGCAAGGTCCTGCCATGAGTCGATGCTTCCCTCCGGAAGGTTGTTGAACCAATCGTACGCTGGTCCCTCCAAGGTGGATAGGAACCAGCGACACATGTACTCCTCCGAAGCATTGGTCATCATCATATTGTTCTGATAACGGGTGAAGTGCTCCTGGGGATCAGTGCGGCCGTCATATGGCTTGATCGGATTCCCCTTGTACTTCTCTGGGATGGGAGCGGAGAGCACCTTCGCAGAGAAGGGGGTCCGGGTCCGTATTTGGATGACGGGCTCGTCGCGTCGGTCGGCCAGCTCCCTCTCCAAGGCACTGACTTTGTGAAGGAGTGCATCGTAGTTGGGATGCTGGGATGTATGAGCCGCTGCGCGCCCTGCGGCCTCCCGGGCCTCCATGTCAGCGAGGCGCTTTTCTAGGGGAGCAATGATCTCGTCCCTTGGGTCCGTGTTGGCCGCAGCGCCACCTAGAGGGGTCTGGATCCGGGCCGCGTGGGCCAGGTTGATCTGGTGACGCGCATCATCATCAATCAGTTTTCCTTTGCCTTTATCTGGTCGGGGCCGATCCGTTGTCCGGGAGACGGACCCGAAGCTTTCCTTTGGCGACCCCGGCTCGTGGTTACCCAACCGATCCGCCACCCTTCCCGTAGGTACCCGACGGCTCGCGATGTCACCCAGCCTATTGAAGGCCGAGATTTTACCGCGAGGTTGGGCCGGTGTATCCCGGGTAGGAGAGGCAGTATGGGAATGGGTGTCCACGGCGAGGATGCCTTCGTCGTTGCCGAAGAAGGTGACGCCATGTGGCCGAGGCGGCGGTGGTGGCACCGTCGCGACTTCCCCTGTCACGGGAGTGTTGTTCTCCCCTGTCTTTGCGACGAGGGCGCTGACGACGTTGGGGTCCTGGAGAATGCTTGCGACGATGGCCGATAGTGCGGCCGGGTTGATCTGGGGGGCAGCAGGGTGAGAAGCCTGCTGACCCGAAGCGCGATCAGCATTGCGCCTGTCCTCGAGCCCGATGCGGGCGTCTGGGGCAGTCTTGTTGAGCTGGACGCGAAGGTCGGCCGCTGCGTGCTCGACCTCCTGAGCGTCCTCATCCTGGATGATAGGATCATTGGGGACGTTATCAGCAACGTTTCCCTGCCCTTCCTGGTTCAGTGGGGCATTCCTACCAGTGTTCTTTGACCTAGTTCTTGTCATTCTGTTGCGTCTAGTAGCGACGAGGGGTACTCACTTGATCTATTCTGGCTCTCAATGAAAGCACCAAATGATAGGGTATTAATTCTAGAGAGAAGTGAGAGCTAGAGAGAGAAAGTGAGTAATTGTATTTCTCCACCCCCTATAACTAGCCCCAAGGGGTCTATTTATAGGTAAAAATGTGGATTTGGGCCCCTAGCCATGGGCTTAGGAGGCCCATTACAATAATCATGCCTCTTTTGGGCGAAATAGGGCCACTAATGGGCTGTGTACAATACTTAGCAAATAAAGTAGAGAGATGCATTCTGTCAGGGCGAACTCTGGCCGATGCGGCACCTTTTGGCCGATGCGGTCTCATGGCCGATGCGGTCCATGGGCCGATGCGGCCCCCGAGAGTCCAGATGCGATTCCTGGGCCGGTCTGGTCTCTGGCCGATGCGGACCCACTGGCCGAAGGGGCCACGTGGGTGTTCTTCTGGTCGCCGTTGACTTGCGTATGCGGCCGTGGGGTCCAGGCCCATATACTCTATCACTTAACCATGTTGGCAAATCACATGTTTAAATATCTTTTAAACATCATTATGAACACATATAACATTTATTTAGGTAATCTCATAATTAACCCAAAAGTTATAAGATATTAAGCCGTCCACTCACCTTGAACTAGCGTTATGAAGTTCTACCCTTCTTGGTTGAACTCCGGTGAAACTCCGACAACTTTTGGTCAACTACGGCGACAACTCCGGCGACTTTTCCAACTTTGTGAAATCACTTGAAATACCTTTCAAAAGTTCCTAACAAGGTTTTATAATCATAAAACCCATATTAATACAAATAACCTCAAAACGGTTATTTTCCGGTGAACCGGTCGTTTTGGCTTCTAAGTCCGTTCTTGGACATAGAATCACTTTCCAACCCATTAATCCATACCTATAACATGTAGAACCCTCTTAAGGATTCTTCACATGATATATATCTCATATGGTAGAAGAAAAATAAAGAAAAAGTTATAATAAGGTCATTACCTTAATTATTTCACACTTTTAGCACTTTAGCTCCTTTTTGGGTGATTCTTCCTTGATGAGCTCTCTTCAACAATGGAGGAAAGAGGCTGGGTGGTTTTTGCTCTTCCTGGTTTTCTCTTGGCCGAAAATGAGGGAGGGAGAGGGGCGAGGCTTACCCATTTGTCTCATTGAACAAATGAGTGTGGATGGGGGCCACCTCATTTTTGTTTGATGCCATAAAGATCATATCAAAGCCTCCTCCCAAGCTTCTCTTCTCTTACCAGCCGTCCAACCCCTCCAATTTGATTGGCAAAAACGTGGGTTGGCCCCCACTCATGTGGGAGGTCAACCCTTTTTGTCCCGAAGTGTGCAATCGGTCCCGAAAGTTGTATTTTTCGGACTGTTTTAAATATATTTTATTTTATCGGGTCAATAAAATATATTACCCACTCTCAATCATAACGCCCCTTTGAAATAATATATATTCCAAAACTTTAATTTGGAAGTCTCTGAAATTCATTTTCGGGTTATTATCTGTTAAATTGTCGGTACCGGTATTTGCGCCTATTTTGCCCAATCGGTCAGCTCTGGGCCTTTCCACGACCCAAATGAAATATCCACCACCATATAAATATTATCTTGATCAAGATGAATAAAATATGTGGTCTCGTGAAGGTTGGGTGGTCCCCGCTCCCGATGTGGGTCCCACGTGCAATTTACTATTCATGCGAAAGAAATATAAAAATTTACAACTTCGTAAATTCATAAATCATTCCATAAGGTTTATTACATCATTTACGTACAAGTAAATACATTTGGGGACGGTGTTACATCAAACACATAAAGACCATTAACAATGACCGTCAGCCCTACGATTAGACATAGAATCGGTCACCCCTGAAGGAGCAACATGAATCGCTAACCATTGAACGGGTTTAAACCAGCTACAACTAACCAAAAAGATCCTCAAACTTCTAACAGCATAATACTTAGCTAAACTCCCAATCCCCCTTATTAAACTAGCAACGACTTCAATGAAAAAACTAAATCATGATTCCCATACGCAATAATTATGAACTGTGAAGGAGAAATTGTTACTACATTATTTATATTTAATGCAGTGATAATAATGCATAAACATAGCTACTGCATATACTTCTCTCATTTACTAATTGGGTAGGGGAAGCAGTTGAATTAGCGACTCAACTTTTGAAAGGGCTTCATGTTATTTTAAATTTGATAAGACATGGTAAGATTACATCTCTATGTACAAGGCTGTAAAGATAAATCATAGACTTCAACAATTATCGAAAATTATTCTCTAAATACTACTCGTACAATTCACAAGACAATTCAAGAAACAATTACTCTTATGATAAATCTAGTAAACGAGGAATTTCTTACAGTAAGATACAAAGCAGGCTAGTCTCCGAAAATGCCCCGGTACTAGAAAGTAATTGCCCATGCCCTACAGATCAAACTTGGACCTTTATTCTGTGTCCCAAAAAGGCCTATCTTTGTATAAAAAGGAATTGCTAATAAACCTCGGTCTCTAAACACTTTGGTTATTCTAGAAACTAAAGACCAGACAAAAAGGGCCAATAGTAACAAAACCCAGCCTAGAGGGATCCACCAAATCATGTTTAGTATTTGAACAGGAGTGCAATGGCAGAAGGGTTCCCTAAACATAAACCTGTACTATGAAGCCCACATGTTCATATAAATATCTAGGTATTCATAACAAAAATGCTTGTCTAATTATTGAACTACAATAAAAATTACGGAGTAGAAAAAGGTCCGTCTGTTATTGGGCTTCATTGTATATTTTGTAGATTAGCCTTAGTTGTATTTCATGGGCCAAGGGCTGCCAAGGGCTATCTTTGTATATATAAATATTGTAATCTCCTTATGCATAAGACATAATAGATTGGCTCCCAAATTATAACTTGGAATATACTTCAGCCGTACTCATAGCCGAATATGGTATCAGAGAGGCGCATGTAATGCCCTACGCATTATTGACGGAAGCAATAACAAGGAGAACGAAGCCAGCGTCTTCGTCTTCTACCTTTGCCATGACCGACCCGTCTATCCGGCCTAAAGGACCTCCTGCCGGACAAGGAGGTACTGCTCGTGCACATGCTATGTCCTCGGCACCAGGCAGCGGCAGTGGACCGAGTTTTGGAGCGAACCAGGCAGCAACGATCCCCGGTAGTGGGACCGGCAGTGGGATAGCCCCATCTGGTGAGACAAACGTACTAAACGAATTAACTAGGGAACAAGTTCAGGCACTTTTGAATTTGATTAATGTTGCTCCTACTTCATGTGATCGCATGTCGGGTACGTTTACTTCTTTGCCTTGGATTATTGATACCGGGGCATCCCACCACGTCACGGGTGATTTGTCTTGTTTAATCGATTGTGTTCGTATTAATGCGTGTCCGATTGGCTTGCCCGATGGAAGAACCGTGACTGCCGAAATAGAGGGTCGAGTACCTCTGAATAAAAATCTCGTTCTGGATCATGTGCTTTATGTGCCCGGCCTGAATTGTCATCTTATATCTGTCTCTCAACTGATTGATAAGAGTGATTGTATTGTAGTTTTCACTAATTTATTTTGTGCTATACAGGACCTAAACTCAAGGAACCTGATTGGAGCCGGTGAACGGAGAGGTGGGCTATATTATTTCCGGGGAATTCCTGCACTGAATTCTGTTCACGCATCAGGACTTTCATATTTCGAGCTATGGCACCGACGTCTTGGTCATCCCTCAGATAGGGTCATCAGATTATTACCTCATTTTGTTACTAGTTCCACTGTCAAAAAGTTAAATAAAGCCTGCGAGGTATGTCCGCAAGCCAAACAAGTTTGTGACTCTTTTCCTATCAGTAGCTTTCGCGTTAGTCGCATTTTGGAACTTGTACATTGTGATTTGTGGGGCCCTTATAAAACTCCGTCTAAGTGTGATGCTATTTATTTTTCTTACTCTGTTTGATGATTTTTCGCGGGCCGTGTGGGTCTACTTATTGCGTGACAAAAAGGAGGTGTTTCGATTTTTCTTGTTCTTTATTACTATGGTGGAAAAACAATTTGAGGTGTCTGTAAAAACCATTCGTAGTGATAACGGGACCGAGTTTAAATGTATGCTTCCTTATTTTGAAACTCGTGGCATTGTTTTTCAAACATCATGCGTCGAAACACCTCAGCAGAATGGTCGTGTTGAGCGGAAGCATCGTCACATTTTAAATGTGGCTAGGGCCTTGATGTTTCAGGACGATGTACCTATTCATTTATGGGGGGAGTGCGTTCTCACGGCTGTGCATGTTATTAATCTCACTCCTTCCGGCTTACTGGGAGGTAAGACCCCGTATGAAGTCCTTACCGGCCAGATTCCGGATTTTTCCCACTTGAGGGTTTTTGGATGTTTGAGTTTTGCATTTAACTTGAAATCTCGAGGTGATAAATTTGCGCCGCGGAGTAGGCGTTGTGTTTTTATTGGATATCCTTCTGGCAAGAAAGGTTGGAAATTATATGATTTGGCTACCGATGATATTTTTGTTTCTCGCGATGTGAAATTTCACGAGGATCGCTTCCCTTTTTCTGAGCAACGGAACGTGGCATCACCTCCCGACTCCGCACATCAAGACGGCGGGGTGGTTATTTTTGATGATCCAGTAGAGCCCGTCTCCCATGAGGTTGCTGCGTACGTACCTCCTACAGATACCACCTCTGCCACTTCCCATGCAGACACACAGGTTGTACCCCTTGGACGTGGTATGCGCGAAAAACGCTCATCTGTTCTCTTACGGGATTTTTTCACTCATCACGTGCAAACACATAGCCCATCTACTCTGGCATCATCTTCTTTCAGTTCCTCAGGTACGCCGTATCCTTTAGCACATTATATAAATTGTGAAAAAAAATTATCCCCGTTACCGCCAGTTTCTTGGAGCTGTTCTTGCAGGACAGGAACCACGTTCTTTTCGGGAGGCCATGAAGGATCCCGGCATGCTATGGCCGACGAGGTTCGTGCTCTTGAGACCAACTGTACATGGGATGTAATCCCCTTGCCTCCTGGGAAGAAAGCACTTGGTAGTAAATGGGTTTACAAAATCAAGTATAATTCTGATGGCATGGTAGAACGGCTCAAAGCGCGGCTGGTTGTCCCCATGCTCCAACTTGAGGGGGGTGTTATTGCCTATTGGGCTTCGTTTTATATTTTGTAGATTAGCCTTAGTTGTATTTCATGGGCCAAGGGCTGCCAAGGGCTATCTTTGTATATATAAATATTGTAATCTCCTTATGCATAGGACATAATAGATTGGCTCCCAAATTATAACTTGGAATATACTTCAGCCGTACTCATAGCCGAATACCGTCGAAGGAAAGAGTCATAAACAAGCTGCAAATTGACCAGGAAGATGTAGGATAGGTCAAGATAAGTCAAATCTGGAAGCCCACGTAAAGATAAGAGCAGCCAACTGATGAGCATGACATTAATTAATACTAATGACTCGATGAGGACACAAATCTGTTGTGACAGATAAGCAGTCATCCTTAAGTTGGCTGCACAAAGTTACTAATACCCTAATCAAAATCTAGAACACTCCGCCATAAAATGCAAGTCTTTGTCGTTTGTCACTGTAGTGTGTGTATGAATTTCTAATAAACTTTTAAATAGTTTTAGGGATTGAAACCAAAATTTTCAATTCACCAACCCTGACAATTAACGTGATGATGATGAAATGCATCAATATCTTATACTAGTACCAATATACCTTTGACTTCCTAGGGCACCAGAACCTTAGAAGTAAGAAGAGACCATACTAAGATCAACTAACCCTCTAATTATTCTGAAAAACATGGTGCTCAGACCTCAGTGCTCTAGAAGAAGTGAAGAACAGAGGATCGACGTTTTTGTATTGAAACCTACGAACAATTGACTCAAAGATGAGTATGTAGAGGCGTTCCTACAATCCTACAGCATCTCTACTAGAGTTAGGGATATTATTTGTTACTCCCTCTTATTTTGTAAGTTACGCTTTCTTTTTTAATGTCCTGGAAATATTAAAACTTTATTGATTTGAACTACACTAATTTTTTACTTTATCCTTTTAACTATCATTCATACTTAGTTAAATACGGTACGGGAATTAAACGAGGTTTAATACGTACGTGTTTTATTCGGTAACATTAATGAAAAAATAGTCAAAAAATCGTTGAAAAAAACATTTACTACCTCCGTCCCAATTTAAAAAAACGTTGAAAATAACATACTACCTCACAAAATAACATACTACCTTCGTCCCAATGGACTTTGCACTATTTGAATTAGCTGAGAAATAAGAATAGTAAAAATTGTGTGGTTGAAGTTTGTGTAGAGGAGAGAGAAATGAGTAGAACCACAAAATAGTTACTTTAATGGGAAAGTGGCAAAGTTTTTTGGGACAACCAAACAGGAAAATTTGGCAAAGTCATGGGACAGAGGGAGTATATCGTAAAAAGAAGTAAAATACACACACGTTCAAGTAGCAAATCTTATTACTTCATAAAAGAATAATTAGTTATTGCATAACTCGATGACAAAAAAAATTAAGTTCAAGACATAATTTTGCAAAATAGTGTCAACAAATAAGACATAATAACAATAGAATGAGACTAGGTTAAAATCATTATCTTTATATGATCATCAAATAACACTCAATTTAAATTCATCATTTTCATACAGATGACGGATGACATATGAGAAAAGTTGTGCGACTGTTATGCATGCTTATTATTGTTTATATGTAAGAGTTTGTACTAAAAAAATGTGTAGTTTAGAAAAACTTTAATTTTGACATGCTTGTTTAGAAAAACATCAGAAATCTAGTACTATTTCAAGTTTTAGTCTTTTAGGATGCTAGCTTTAGTCGTCATGCAATTAATTTTAGTTTGTAATAATTGTATTTTAACAATACAAAAATATGGGATCACAAAGGGGAGTTTTTTTTTAATTATTGTTGATCTCTTATTCGTTTAGTGCCTTCATTCAATTGATAGATCCATGTTTTTATTCTTTTGTAAATACGAGATGCTAGCTTTAGCTTCCATGCAATTAATTTTAGTATTTAATGATTGTATTGTAATAATACAAAAACATGGGATCATAGGGAAGAGCTTTTCTGTTTTGCGTTTAAACTATTGTTGATCTTCCATGCATTTAATGTGTTCATTCAATTGATCAATTCATGTTTCTATTTTTAGTAAAAATACGGGAAAAATACGTTTTATACAGGAAGTAGGAGTTTTTTTTCCTTTTAAACGGACTGACATTATTTTTCATTTTAAACGTATTTTTTGGTTTAAAGAAACGGTACGTGTTTAAAACGGGAAAAAGCTAACTAGGCTATCATTGCATCTTTATGGATCCATAATAGGAGTATTTTTCTTTATTTAGAAGGTTACAGTGGTAAAATAACCATCTCCTTTATTTTCTTAGAAGTTAGAATTTGTAAATACCGAAATATATCTTACATTTCTGGAACAGTGGGGTATTGATATTAATTTCATATTAGTAATTACTAACCCAAATATTAGTTTCCTGTTAGTATGGAAGAGTATTTAACTTCAGTTAATGTTCCCAAAAAGTCTTGTATCAATATTGCAAGTTTGTAACAGTTAGGGCTCTAATACTCACTCACCAAGTTTTTTGGGATTAGTACAAAATAGGGGTTTCATATACATTAAATAATTGTGTCAATAACTTTGGAGTTGAATCATGTGTTTCTTCAGCAAGGCCAAGCACCAAAATTCCTTTTCTACCAATTGCGAAAAGGAACTTTTCTCTGCCAAGGTCGAGTAATTCTTTATCCTCATAGCTTTCATAGCAACATGAGCAAACACAATGAAGTAAAAGTATTTCCCAAGTCTATAAAAGACAATTAATCAGGGTGATTGGAAGAACGAAAAGAATTGCTACTACAAACCTCACAATATCAAGAACCAATGTTTTCAGCTTAGAGCAGCTACCATCATCTCTGAAAACTTCACAAACAAAATTTTCAGGTATTCACACTCAGTAAGGTCCATTTCTTGCAAACTGGGACGTTGCAATGCTAAGGTGGTTAAGAATTCTTGGTTTTGCAACACCAAGAAGTGGCCCACACGAAGATTCTGCATACACGATTAGTAATAAGTAAATCATTATTACAGATGTTAATGGCCCACATAGCACATTCTCTTAAACTAAAATGGAGCATTAGCATATGTTACACACCTTAAGAGATGTGATGCTGATTCACTGGAGCAAAGGACAATTGGATACGGTAATTGATGATAGCTTATTACTTTGTAAGTTTAGATCAGCAAATCTGAAAAGAAAACTTTGGGGCATATAATAAATGATGTCTTTGGTGAGAACTAAATGAACAAAAATAGTTCAAACAAGACTAGGTAAGTGAATTATACTCTTCTTAGAATCTGGTTCCCATATTGCAACTTGAATAGACACCTATTGATGTGCCAAACTAATTCCCTTATTTTGGAAAAAAAATGCACAATAAACCGTTGCAGCAATTATAATGAACAGAAATTCAAGTGTCTTCCCATGTGGTAACAACAATCAATCCCATGCAACAAGAATGTAGTCCCTCTATATGTGAGTGATCTGCTATGAGTGTCAATGCACCATAAATGGCCTTGCAGTTCAAGATCTCCTTTCACTCCAGCTGTTTCCCATATAAACTTAAAGAACACCAGGGCCCTACGAGTTGCTTCACTCCTCTCGAATGCATCTTCTCTTCATATGATGTCAATATTTTTCCCATGCACAGGCGGAACTTATCCACATGACCAACAGCATATAGTCCCCCACGAACTTCTACTTCAACATCGTTGACGCTACCATAAAGATAATATGTGAGAAGTGTAAATAAGCACTGAGATGAGTGGCCCAGTCTCTTAGATAATATCTTTTGTACTAAGCTTTCTTGATGACGGTTTTCCTAGTATCCAAAGTTTTTATCTATCCGAATATCCTTATCTGATAGAGACCTTCTTTCATGCCCTCTATCTTCCTAACCTCTAGAGATAATTTTGTTACCTCACTCAAGCAATCAGCAAGATCATTGAACATCTCAAGAATGTCTTCCCATTTGTGTGAAGTAGGAGGTGAATTGGCATCTCTTGTGGGTGCAACTCGCATCCATGAACTAGAATCGGGGTTGTAAGAAATGGTAATGTCCAAAACCTTCAGACAGCTCAAAACAATTTGCTTTGACATTTTAGTTTCTTTACTAGGGAACCTAGAATCCAAATACTCCATCTCATATTTCAACTTATCTAGCATCACCTCAAGCGCACCAGTCCATATATGATGTTCAGTTACCTGGGGGCATATCGTTGCCCTGACTACCTTCCTTCGTTGAGCTGAAACATTCAAGATCTCAGAATCATTTGTGAGTGAATCTACAGTCATTGGTTCTCTCTCGCCAGCTTTATTAAAACAATGAAGCTGATGGTTCCCTTTTGCATTGCTCCCTAAAGACATAATGCGGAGTAATATTTTTCCTCGTGATTTCTTGAACCAAAGGGCACCTAATAAAGTCTCTTGCTAGAGACTTAAAAAGATGCATGTTTTCTAGCAAAACTTCATCTTCAATTATCGATTCATCAATAACATTAACAGTCCTACCATGAATGACGTCCACATTATTCAGCAAGTGGGATAACATTGATAGCTTTGAGAAGGCTTTTTCATACCAACCAGACGAAAGAGACTCCAACTTCTGTTCCTCCAATAACATTTCTACGAAACTTGCTTCCACTGAACCAACAAAAGCTGGGTTCTTCCCTATACAGTGCATCATCACATTTTAATCACACTTCCGTTCACCTCCTCTGTGGCATTTCATCGATCAAGTGGCGCGTGACTTGCAAACTAAAGATAAATTGAAGCTTCACCTGCCACTACAAAGAGTGTAAACGACAGAAACATGGAATCCCAACTGAACATGACGAACAAAAGAGGATATTTGTTTCGTCTGTGTAAAGGGCAGCCCCTGAGAGAGAGGACGAGGTGTGTCGAAGTAAAGGGCTACTAATTCAAGAGCACAAAAAGCTTCAATTTGAATTTTGAAGACTCGGAAACAAATTGCATATATCCCACACCGAGAACATAAGGAGGAATTAAAGTTG